AGGGAAGATATAGGCTTATCGTCTTTAATAACTGTGATCAAGTGATTGCATTCTTTTCACACTTGCATCTTTACAGCGGACAGCTGGTAATTGAGGATGGAATAGTGGAAGAGATCGCGTATTGCACATTTCAACAAAGGCAACGACTCCCAGTTTAAACCACATCTAGACATCAGTTGAAGAATAAACTTTGAAAACACAGACAGCTGTTCCGCTTATGCTAATGTGGTTGTAACTTTCGAGTGGCTGTCCCTCCCCACTCCCCCCCGTCCCCGCTCCCTCCTCTGTTTCCGACTTCTGTGTTCTCTCTCCTCTGTGTCCTTTTCTTCCTCCTCCTCCTCCTCTTTCTCTCTCTCTTTCTCTCTTTCTCTCTCTCTTTCTCTCTCTCTTTCTCTCTCTCTTTCTCTCTCTCTCTCTCTCTCTCTTTCTCTCTCTCTTCTCTCTCTCTCTCTCTCTCTCTCTCTCTCTCTCTCTCTCTCTCTCTCTCTCTCTCTCTCTCTCTCTTCTCTCACTTTCTCTCTCTCTCTCTCTCTCTCTCTCTCTCTCTCTCTCTCTTCTCTCTCTCTCTCTCTCTCTCTCTCTCTCTCTCTCTCTCTCTCTCTCTCTCTGTGCTCTTCATTTTTCGCCTCCTTCTGCCATTTCATTCCTTTCGTGTTTCGTTTCTTTTCTCCCCTGTCTTAGCCTTTCCATTCTGTTCCCCTCCCCTCTCCTCCTTCCTCCTTCTCTCCCTGTTTCTTCTCCCCTTACTTCTTTCACTCTGCTCTTGTGTGTTCTCGCATTCCCTCCCTCCCCCCCCTCCCTCTCCATCTCCCTCCCCCTCCCCCTCCCCCTCCCCCTCCCCAACCGGAGGAGGAGGAGGAAGAGGAAGAAGAAGAGGAGAAAAAAGTAGAAGGAAGAGGAGGAGGAAGAGTGAGACATTAAGATGAAGGGGAGGAGGGTAGAAGAAGATGAGTAGAAGGCAGAAAGAAAAGTGAAAAGAGATATAGCTAAGTGAGGAAAATGGGGGGGGGGGTAGAAGGGTAACGGGAAGAAAAAATAGATGGTGAGGAGGAATAAGGAGAGTGCAAAGAAGAATAAGAAGGTAAAGGCGGAGTAAAAGGAAAAGAGGTGGAGGAGGTGAAAGAGGAAAAGAAAGATGAAAGCGAACAAAAGAAGAAAAATAAGTATATGATAAAAAAAAGCGTGGAGAGGAAGAAAAATGGAGGAACAGTAGAAGAAGAAGAATGGAGACGAAGGAGAAGGCGGAGAAGGACGAATGAAGGGAAGGGGAGGGCGGTGGAGAAGAAGTCGGTGAAGGAGGAGTCGAGGAGTCGAGGAGGAGGAGGAGGAGGAGGAGGAGGCGAAAATTGAGGAGAAGGCGGAGGAGGCGGAAGACAAAGGGAAAGAGGAGCGGAGGAGAGGAGGCGGAGGGAAGCCTGGAGGCGCGTTATGCCTCCTCGAGGACCAAGGAGCGGCTTCCTGCGGGAAAGGAGGAGGAGGGGGGGAGGAGGAGGAGGAGGAGGAGGAGGGGGGGGGAGGAGGAGGAGGAGGGGGGGGAGGAGGAGGAGGAGGGGAGGGAGGAGGAGGAGGAGAGGGAAGGGGGAGGAGGAGAGGGAAGGGGAGGAGGAGGAGAGGGAAGGGGAGGAGGAGGAGGAGGAGGGAGGAGGAGGAGGGAGGGAGGGAGGGAGGGAGGGAGGGAGGGAGGAGGAGGGGGAGGAGGAGGAGGAAGGGGGGGGGGAGGAGGAGAATAATAATAAGAAGGAGAAGGAGAAGGAGAAGAGGAAGAGGAGGAGAAGACTCGCCGGACGACCGAGGAGGTTATTTTTTAGCGAAGGAAGGAGATTGACTCAAGTCCCGTCCTTGGTGCGGAAGGACGGGGCTGCTTACTTTTTATTGGTGTCTGTTGGATTTCATGCTTAAGGTATTTGCCTTCGGTGCTTTTCACTGTTTTATAAGTGTGTGTGTGTGTGTGCGTGTGCGTGCGTGTGTGCGTGTGTGCGTGTGTGTGTGTGTGTGTGTGTGTGTGTGTGTGTGTGTGTGTGTGTGTGTGTGTGTGTGTGTGTGTGTGTGTGTGTGTGTGTGTATGCATACATAATCATCATCGTCATCGTCATTATCACTATCAACATCATCATCATCATCATCATCATCATCATCATCATCATCATCATCATCATCATCATAATCACCACCATCACCATCATCATTATTTTCTGTCTAATTTTTGCCTAAACTGTCGCTTAGTATTGACTTTGTCGGATGGGGCGGAGTTTGTGCCTTATGGCGTCGATGGTAAGCTTAAAGTTCTAAGTTAGAAGGTGAGAAGTTAGAGGCGACTGCGAGAGAGAGAGAGAGAGAGAGAGAGAGAGAGAGAGAGAGAGAGAGAGAGAGAGAGAGAGAGAGAGAGAGAGAGAGAGAGAGAGAGAGAGGAAGAGAGGGAGAGAGAGAGAGAGAGAGGAGACAAGGGAAATGGGGGAAGAGAAGATAATTCAGGAAACGAAACACACTTTGCGTAAAGGGG